GGCCCGCGAGGGGGCCCCAGGACCAGCCGCAGAGCGGATTCGGGGCGGAAGGGCCTCTGCGTAGGGCTCTGCTCTCGACGTCCCCAGCGGGACGGGAACCTCGAGGGGACAAAAAGCAGTCTGCAAGACGAGGTTTAGGAGCCCCGCGCGGATTTCCCCTGTCACCCGGCGCGGGGGGAGCCCACCCTGCGCCGCCGGCGACGCCCCTGGCGCTCTCCGCGCGCAGGGCGGGGCGCATTCAGCGCGCTGACCCTGGGGGCATCCGCGCGGGGTTCCGGCAGTTCTGTGGAGGATCGCAGATCGGGTCTCGCGCAGTGGAGGGGGGGGGATAGATACACGGGAGGGCAGCGAGGGCTGCCGAGAGGGGGCCCTTCTATAAAGCCCTGGAAGGTTTTTTTTCTCGGGCCCAACAGGGGGCCCTCAGGGCTCGAACAGGGGCACCTTCCTCCCCCCCCCCATATGCAGCCCCCCAGAACTTCGCGCCGAAGAGCAAGGGCATATCGAGAAAACTCCTGCCCTCACTTCTCCATTGCTGGCCCACCGACCTCCCAGAGGGCCTCTTCGCCGGCCAGGCCAGATCCGCCTCGAACAACGGGTCGGATGCACCCGGGAGGACTCCGGGCACCGCTCTTGAGCGGCCTCGGGCTGGGCGGGAGAAAGCGAGCGCTTCTTTTCCCTCTCCGGGGCAACGCTCGTTATACCCGGCTGACTCCAACGGTCTGATTGGGGCGGGGCCTGCACCCCCCCAGACATGGCGCGGTGCACACGGGCGCTTGATGGCGCTGGCGTCGCAGACGCACCTTGGCGGGTGCACTCTGCGGCCGTCGTTACCGTGACCCTTTCGCGCCCGAGTCCTCACCCCCCCTCCCCCGGGGTAGCGACCGTTACCTGGGAGAGAATCTGAAACGGTCACGGAGCAGCCGTTGTCTGGACGGGCCTTCCTCCGATCCAGCACGGGAAGGAGGATGGGTCTTCCACGTGTTCTGGCATGCCCTTGTGCATCTTTGAGGGCCTCTGGGGGCCTCCTGCAGCGCAGCCAGCGTCTTGCCAGTTCCACTGCACGCCTCGTCCATATTCTTCCCTTGGCATCGCCCGGGCGCTTGCATTTTTGTTGTTCGGCGAGGCCAGCGCCGGAAAGTCAGGGCCGTGTTGGAGCATCGTGGGCCGCTCCGAGGAGCACGCGCGCAAGGAGCCCAGCAGTGCACGGAGAATGGGCGTCCGAGCGATGGTCAAGTCCTCCCCGCTCGCCAGGTTAGCAGCCACTGGTTCCACACGGCCAGCTGCCAGCTCAACCCCGCGCAGGGGCACCACAAGGCCAAGGACACCCTGAAGAACAGGAACTGGCTGCTGCAGGTGTACTACGGCATCTACCCCCTGTTCGGGTACTGCTGCGTCGGTACAGAAGTGTTCTACATCTTGCTCCTTGCCCTGTCCTACTCGCCCAGCTCTGCGCTGGCAAGCTTCACGTGGTACGTCTGCTTCCCGGCCTGCGTTCTTAAGAACGTGGTCAACGTGATGCAGCTCTGGTCGGCAATGGTCGCCATCTCGGAGCTCGACGTTCAAGCGTCAAAGGCAACTGCCTCATGTGAGTAAGGGAAGATCCCTGGGAGGAGGAGGAGGAGGAGGAGGAGGAGGAGGAGGAGGAGGAAGAGGAGGAGGCCGAGAGCAGGGAGAAGGGATGAGGAGCGGCAGCAGCAAGACAAGGGTGCCCCGTCCCTCTCCGCCACCATGCGTTCCCCCCACTCCTCCACATTCTCGCGCTGCCCCTCCTCTTCATCCTCCTCGCTCCTCTCCGCGATGCCACACCACCTTCGATGACCTGCCCCGTGAGGTGTGCTTGTCGTGTTGCCTTCGTTCCTTCCCCCCTCCCCCCGCTTCCCCTATTCCCTCCTCCCCTCTTCTCCTCCTCCTCCTCTGCTCCTGCTCCTCCCCCCTCCTCTCCTCCACCCTTCCTCCTCCTCCTCCTCCTCCTCCTCTCCTCCTCCTCCTCCTCCTCCTCCTCCACCCCTCTCCTCCTCCTCCTTCCTCCTCCTCCTCTCCTCCTCCTGCCTACTCCTCCTCCCCTCCTCATCCTCATGCTCCGCAGCCTCATCCTCATCCTCATCCTCATCCTCCTCCTCTCCTCGTCCTCCTCATTTCCCTCCCCCTCCCCCTACCCCCCCATTCCCCTCCTTCCCTTTTCCTCCTCCTCCCTTTTCCTCCGCCCTTTTCCTCCGCCTCCTCCCTCCTCCCTCCTCCCGCCTCCCTCCTCCTCCTCCCCCTCCTCCTCCTCCTCCTCCTCCTCCTCCTCCTCCTCCTCCTCCTCCTCCATCTCCTCCTCCTCTCGTTCCTCCTCCTCCTCCTCCTCCTCCCTCCCTCTCCTCCTGCTCTTCTTCCTCCTCTCCCCTCCTCCTCTTCCTCCTCTCCTGCCGCCTCTCCTCCGGGTTCCTGCCTCCCCCCTCCTCGCCTCCCCCCTTCCTGCGTCCCTCCTCCCCCCCACTCTCCTGCCGCGCCGCTCCTGCCGCCCCCCTCGCCTCTTCCGCCCTCCCCGCCACGTCGCCATCCAGGCGTCGAAGGCCACCTGAGGCGCCGCAGACCCGCGCCGCCGCACCCCCCCCCTCACTCGCGCCCCCACCCAACTCGGGTGCTGCTTAGAGGCCGTGCCCCTCCTCCTCCTCCTCCTCCTCCTCCTCCTCCTCCTCCTCCTTGTCCTCCTCCTCCGCCTCCTCCTCCTCCTCCTTTTCCTCTTCTGGTTCCTCCTCACCCCTTGGCCCAACGGTGCCCCCCTGGGACTTCAAAAGAGGCCCCCCCGCCCTCCAGAGCACCCCGCTCACGAGGCCCAGCGGGCCCCCGCGGCTCCACCCTGGAGCGGACCGCCAGGGGCACCCTGGGCCAGGGGGGGCACCTCCGGCAGCCCCCCGGAGCATGGCGCGCGGTAGGCACGCCGTCGGCCGCCGCGGGCCCCCCTTGGGGCGAGTTCTGCGCTCTAGGCCGGCGCGACGAGAGAACAGCGGGGTCGGGGGCGGGGTCGTGGAGGAGGCTCTGGGGGGAGGCTCTGGGCGGGGTCACGAGGTGCGGGGATCGGGGAGGAGGCTCGGGGAGTGGGGGAGGAGGAGGAGGAGGAGGAGGAGGAGGAGGAGGAGGGGAGGAAGGAGGGTGGAGAAGGAGGGGGAGGAGGAGGAGGAGGAGGAGGAGGAGGAGGAGAGGAGGAGGAGGAGGAGGAGAAGGAGGAGGAGAGATCGAGGGAGACCGATGAGCGAGGGGCAAGAACGAGACGCGAGGGGCGAAAGCGAGGAGGAAGGATGAAGAGGACGACTGCGAGGGCGCGGAGGAGGGGTGATCATAAGGAGGAAGGACGACGGCACGAAGGCAGAGGATGTAGAGGAGGATCGAGGATCGAGTTTTGTTTCCTCCTAATCGGTTTGGATGGGGGCCGGCGTCTGCAGACCTCCTGGGGACCTCCGGAGAGTTCTCCTCCCTCTTCACTCTGTCATTCCCCCCTCTCCCTCTCCTTCCCTTTTCCCCCTTCCCCCTCGTCCTCCTCCTCCTCCTACTCGGCCTCCTCCTCCTCCTCCTCCTCCTCCTCCTCCTCCTCCTCCCACTCCTCCCCCTCTCTCTTTTCACTCCTCCTCCTCCACCTCCTCCTCCTCATCATCAGCACCACCACCTCCATCATCTTCATCATCATAATGATAATAATAATCATCATCATCATCATCAGCATCAGCATCATCATCATCATCATCATCATCATCATCACATCATCATCATCATCATCATCATCATCATCATCACCACCACCATCCCCTTCATGTTCGCCTCACACCATAGTCAGCAGCGCTAGAAGCATCACCATCATTATCAACACGATCAACATCGTCATCATTACCATCATCATCAACAGCAGCACAATCATCCGTACTGTCACCGGCATCAGGATCATCGTTATCCTTATCGTCATCAGTATCATTATCATCGTCGCCAGCATCATCATCGGCATCATCGTCATCATCACCATCATCATCAGCAGCGGCAGACGCATCATCATCAGCATCAGCATCATCACTATAATATTGATCATTGTCATCACCATCATGACCATAATCACATCACAATCAGGTGCGGCAGAAGCATCACCATCCTCATCAGCATCATCATCACCATCATCGTCATCAGCAGCAGCAGCACAATCATCAGTACCATCACCAGCATCAGCATCATCATTTCTATTATCATTATCCTTATCGCCATCAGTATCATTGTCGTCGTCGTCCGTATCATCATCAGCATCTTCGTCATTGTCACCAGTATCAGCATCCTCAGCAGCAGCAGCAACAGGCGCATCGTCATCATCATCATCAGCATCATCAGCATCACCACCATCATCAGCATAATCAGTATCACCATCATCACCGTCATCATCAGCATCAGCATCAGCATCGTCATCATCATCATCATCATCATCCTCATCTTCATCATCATCATCACCATCATCATCATCATCAACATCATCTTCATCATCATCATCACCACCATCATCATCATCATCATCAGCAGCATCATCATCATCATCATCATCATCATCATCATCATCATCATCATCATCATCATCATCTCCTCCTCTTCCTCGTGCACGAGTTGTGGTTCTTGCTGTCCCTTCCTGCACTGCCTGCGCCTCCTCCTCCTCCTCCTCGTGCTCCTCCCTCGTTCTTCTCACTCTGCCTCTCGCCTTTGCGCCGGCATCACTTCCAGCGTTTTCCACGCTCAGAGTCAGGACGTCGGGCAGAGCAGTCCGCTCTCAACATCTTTCTCGCGCCCCAGCGCTGGGCACGGCAATGCACGATTCTCAAGCGCTGCCAGCTCGGAGAGGGGCCCGCTCCCAGCCTGTGGCCAGCGCTCGAGAGCTCTGCTGGCTCGCTTGCCCGAGAAGCGGCAGCACGTGCAACCACCGTCAGACGCGTGGAGGGTGGCTCGTTCTCGAAGCGGGGCTCTCCAGAGGAGAGGAGGAGGAGGAGGAGGAGGAGGAGGAGGAGGAGGAGGAGGAGGAGGAGGAGCAAGAGGAGGAGGAGGAGGAGGAGGAGGAGGAGGAGGAGGAGGAGGAGGAGGAGGAGATGGAGATGGAGGAGGAGGAAGGAGAGGAGGAGGAGGGGGGGGGGGGGGGAGGGGGAGGAGGGGAGGGGGGAGGAGGAGGAGGAGGAGGAGGAGGAAGGAGGAGGAGAGGAGGAGGAGGAGGAGGAGGAGGGGAGGAGGAGAGGAGGAGGAGGAGGAGGATGAGGAGGAGGAGGAGGAGGAAAGGAGGAGCAGGAGGAGGAGGAGGAGGGAGGCCACCTCCTTCAGCAGATGGCGGCCTGGCGTCTCGCGCTGTGCAGCAGCTGCGCGCATGGAGGGTTGCCCTTTGTCAAGCGGGGGGCCTCTCGCTGGACACGTCCGATGCGTTTTGTGGCTCCATCGGGCACGTTTGCCTAGGCAGCTCGTCTGCAGAGTGGGGCTCGCCGCGTCTGGCCCGAGAAGTAGGACAGTCGCTGGCAGACACCCCTACGCGTGGGGATGCTCGAGAATCAGCGGAACCTTCCGAACACCCCTCCTGGAGAGTTCCGGAGCCGAATCCCCCGCGGACGCATCTGGTGGTGCGACAGCGGGGAGTTGTTTATGATGGGAAGGGGTGGGGTAGGAGGAGGAGGAGGAGGAGGAGGAGGAGGAGGAGGAGGAGGAGGAGGATTCCACCTCAGGTCAGGACAGAGTGATTTGTGGTGGGCTACACTGGATCTCCAGGACCCGCTATCTCTTGCAGGAGCTTGCCTAGAGCGTTACTGCCAGGAATGGTGGCGAGCTACATCTCCAAGACCTGAGCTGGAAAGGCACGATGACCAACTGACAGTATTTGAATTGCGGGATGCGTTCTTAATTGCTCAGGATAGGTTGACCCACACAAGGTGCACTTCATGGCTTGGAAAGGTGTGCGGCCCTATCTCACAAATGCTGCTATGGCTTAGGAAAGGACAGTGGGCCATTCTTAGCCCAACACACTTTGCCTCATTTACGGGCAAAGAGTTCAATATAACAGAGACACCTCCCAGAGTGGTCTCAAAGGAGTTCGTTGCAGATATAAAGGAACAGTTGATCCAGCAGCATGTAGGTAGGGTGTTACCGTCAACCAGCCCCATAGTCGAAAGGGGGCTATGGACGGAGGGTTTTAAAACTGCACTTAGGAGAGCTTCGAAGAAGCTCACGTTTAAGCAGGTGCAGTTGGTTAGGTCTATCTACTGTGGAAGTTACACCACGGGATCCAAGCTTCAAGCTTGGGGTTTTGAAACAGACGGGATATGCCCATATTGCCATAAGTTGGACACGGCATACCATCGCATATGGGAGTGCCCATTCTTTCAAGAAGCTAGGGATGAATATTTAGAAGACTTTCAAACCAATGCCCTGGCCCAGGGGCCTGAGGACCCTTTTTTTCAGCAGGCTATGGGCACCCAGGCAAGAACTAGAGAGTCCCATAGGAGATTGGGACGTGATACATTTTAACGAAAGGGGAAGATGCCCACCTGGCAACTTCGCAGGAGACCTCCCGATCTTTATAGATGGAAGTGGTCTCCACCCAACCTTACCTGGGGTTGCCAGGGGAGGATGTGCAGCTGTGCAGCTCAACCAGGAGGGGGCCCTCCTTCGAGCAATTAGGACCCCGCTGCCTGGCTTCTACCCCCAGAATTCGGGGCACGCCGAGCACGGTGGGCTAGGTCTAGCAGTAGCTTTCTCAGACTACCCAAGGACGGCTCCCATTATTGCCGACTACTCTGGACTTTTCAAAGGCCAAGACCCCATCAGAGTGCTAACAGGCACTAATCAATTTGCTGGGTTCTGGCGGGCCATTGCTCGCACAGTGGAACCCCAGCATTGGCCAGAGCTCCAAAAGGTAAAAGCCCATAGGAGCACCTCTGAAGCCACTACAGATCAGGAGCGGTTCCTAATACAGGGCAACAAGGCAGCGGACTGGCATGCAGGCCAGGCGGCAGCCAGCCATGACCTTGACCCTGGCATTATAGAAGAGCATGACGCCAGCGTAGAGCTCTACACCAACCTTCTGATAGGAGTAGGGCGCATGCTAGACCTCTGGCCCCACAGGGAAGAGCTATATGGAAGTTTAACCAAAGTACCGGCACCTCGAATACCGAGGCCCTTTGTGGACTATCACCAGCCACATTGGACTGGAGCGAGTTTCAGATGCATACGATGCTTTGCGGCGGTAGGGCCCAAATCCACCAAACCTTGCAGGGCACAGCCTGTAGCGCTCAGGAACACTCTTGAGACTGCGAGGCCCTTGCAACATGCATTACAGGTGGGTTGGATTGTAGGGTCCCGTTTGCCTATACTGTTTTGTGTCCGTTGCGGGGCTTTTGCAACTGGCTCAAAGTTGGGCAAGAAGCTCATGAAGCCGTGTGACAATAAAGTTTCCTCGGAGCTCCGCAAGCTCCGCCGTGGACAGGTACCAGCAACCGCTCTCCATTTTGAAGATGTAGGCCCAGTTTAGGAGTTGCTATTGTCTGGTGTTATATGGTTTATAACGACGTGGCCCCACCCCTCCTAGGATTTGTCGCCTGGGAATGCCCTTGGGGACCAATGGTGATGGCTGACATTGAGGTCTTAACATTAGCACTGACTGCAGCAACGCACTGTCAGCCATGCCAGGCCCTATGGGGGACCAGACTCTCTTGGGGAGGGGGAAGGGGGGTCACTCTTATTGTGTTGCTGCTGCTGTTCCTGCCTTGCCCCTATGCCTGCGGCGCTGTTGGTTATGGGGAAGGGATGCCTCCGCGACCTCGAAGCTGCTCTGGCAGCAGGCTGGGGGAGGAGGAGGATGTGTGCGTGGGGGTGTTTGTGTGCGTGTGTGTGCTGTTTGTTGCGTGCGCGCGTGGTGGAGGAGGAGGCCCTCCCCCCCGCCCCGTAGCAGCATCAGCAGTGGCAGGGCAGACACACAACACTGTCCATAAGTAGCCTTTCTATCAAA